GTAACTTAATTTAAGTTCCTCAACTCCCCATATTCCCCCAGTTTCCATTTCATTTTCCATTTGGTTCCCCATTATAGGGGGATAATATACCCTAAACCCTAAACCCTAAACCCTAAACCCCAATATAGTAACTTAATTTAAGTTCCTTAACAGCAACCCAGAATCACATCAGCTTTCAGCAGCAGATCTTTGAGAAAAGCAAGCAGCAGCCCAGCCCGAGGCCACGCCACAGCTCGCTTGTAGAACTTAAGGACCTAGGTTCCCGGTTTAGGGTTTAGGGTTTAGGGTTTAGGGTTTGGGGTTTAGGGTTTAGGGTTTAGGTTCCCCAGTAACCCCATAATAACAAGGGTACCCTACGGTTTAGGGTTTAGGGTTTCATAGGATATATATATATAGAGATATATATATATATATAGGAATAGGTTCCCCGGTAACCTCATAATAATGAGGGTACCCTTTTTCCTCATATTCAGTTCTAATAAGGAGACACCCAAATAAAAAGGGCAAAAGGGTACTACTGGCGAACCTAGTGACAGATGTGACGGAAATTATGCTTGGGCGCGTGGCAGAATGCCGACAAACCCGCAGAAGCTCCTCGCTTTTCCGCCAAGCTGCTGTAGATGCGTGTGGCCCACCTTTACCTGTGCCATGTCCAGACGTCACTTCGCAACACAGTCGCATGATCTGCAGAGGCTCGCAATAAGCCCTTATAAGCACAGCTCTTGCCACATGATTTTGCGGCGCTGCTTCGCGTCTGTCTCTGACGTGGCTTTGGAAAGCCCAGGTGCATCCTCACTGGAAGTAACAGTGATCCGTCTTGTTCCAGAAACGGCGAGCTGTTGGCACTGGAATGCCGACCGCGCGATGCAGGCGGCCCAGATGAGCCCTGGCTAGACAAGCTTAACATGGGTCACGAACTCCTGCAAAACACAGTAGACGTCAGGATGTAGAGATATACGTATGTATGTATGTATGTGTGCTGTCGCATGGCAGTATTCCCCAACCCCTCAGCTTAAACCCTACCTACAGTAACCTCAGCCGCTTAGAGACACAGAGATGCCAACATGTTTAGTTCACATCCCTTGTGTAAGTGGCCGCATTGGCTGCCCTGCATGCTCTTATACACCCCTATGCCATCCCAATAAGCCCATACTGCCTACATTGGCTACTCTAGATAAGCCCTTCTTCAGATACGCCCATACCCAACAGCCTTACCACAAAAATCCAATCCCCAAAACCTAAACTCTACCTAGAGAACCAATGTACCCAACGCCATGAAGAAGGAATTTGTGCTTGCATTTTGGTATCTTTACCCCTTTTTAAGGGTCCGAAATACTCTAGGTAATCCCCCACACCATAAATCCCGTAAACTCTAAACCCCCTAAACCCCAAACCTTGGTTCAGGGCTCACTTTGCCGAACTCAGAACGCATCCCCGAAGACGTTCTTGAGCAGAAGCCGTTTGACCATGTACGGAGTTCCACAATGCGAGGGTCCGTTCAAATTCGTTCTAGAGGGATCATTTTGGGTTGAAAAAATATAGGCTCTAGGGATATTAGTGTGATCCTTTTTGGAGTGTTGCATTAAAGAATCTAGGAAATATGGGGGGTCTATAGGACCTTATAGGGTCTTATTAGAACTTGAGGCTTAAACAACTTAGGGGCCTCTTTTTCGGGGTCCCCACTAGGGGAGTCCCCACAAAAGGATTATTGCATGTTGGGTTCTACATTGGAGCCCCCCCTTTCTTGAAAACCCATGTACGGTCCAAAGCATCTAAATTAGGGTTGGGTCAAGTCTGCTTTACATGTAAAGTTTTCCATGGGAATATGAGTCGTAATGATTTCCCAGCAGCAGTGCGCCAAACGTTGCCTTTCGCAAGCACGCTACTTAGCAAGTGAGGCAAATATATGAGGACCTGCGGTATGTGGTTCATTTTGGTTCGGGCTGCAGCCGATGTAAATCTCGAGCATGACAAGACACAGCTTTTTAGATGGACCTCAGGTCTCTGATGTAGTGGGATCCTTCCTTCAAGAATGACAGTACCACCGCCACTATTATCACCAAAAGATGTTTTGGTTCAGGGTTCAGGGTTTAGGGTTTATTGTCACCAAAAATGTTTTAAAAGGGGTCCCTCAATCTGAAAGGCTGGACATGGGACTGTGAACCAGTTGAAGCTTCCATGCAGAACCGAGAGCCACAGTCCTGCCTTAAATTAAGGCAACTCGCAATCTTCTTCGTCCCTTCAAAAAGTTGAGGGTTTAGGGTTTAGGGATGGGTATCTTTCGGGGGGTTCCCATAATAAGGATTATACTATTTTGGGGTCTATATTGGGGCCCCCCTAGTTTGTGGAACTACCATTTACGAATGAAAGCCTGGACCACAGCCTGCGTGTGCCTCATCAGGGCATTCCACATAGCTATGACCCCGGTGGGTATACTATGATCCACTAAGGTTATCCTATAACGGTGGTGGTACAGGGACTGCGAGATATTATCTGGAGGTAACTTGCTTTGCCTACCTAGGATGCGACAAATTCAATCATCAACACCACGACATCTGAAACGTAGCCAGGAGTCATCTTGAAATCTACTGTTGGGGTTTACCTGATAAGATGAGGTAAGAGGATTTGGGGAATTGCAGCCCTCCAAATCAGGACCCCGCTATATCATAATTTTAGGGGTTGAAGTTACTGCAATCCCGCTGGTATGGCTAGGCCGAGACCCCTAGACCTTGAGTCCCTGTACCCTAGGCCCCGACTACAACGCGGTTTAAGGCTTATAGTCCCCTGAAGTAGATAGAACATGGGGTATATGGGGATCTTTCTTATAAACTACCCAAAGCCATACTCTATCTATTTAAGGGGGACTATAGGGAATTCCGTTACCAAAGTTAGGAGTTAGACATGTACCCCCCGAAAATGTACCCCCCAAAAATTTAGAACCCTATTAGAACCCCATTAAGCCTTACCTACGCTTCATAGAGTCCTTATTAGCTCCTTAAACCCTGGGGGGGCTACATTTGGGCAGGGTTGTATTGTAACGCCTAACAAAGCCCTTCCCCTAAGGGTTCAAGTCATATACTTACCCAAAACCTGTACTATAATTACTATTACCCAAATCCCAAGTACCTAATTATTGGGTACATGGACCCTAAACCCTATATATCCCTAAATACCCCCATATCCCCCCTTTAAAAGTACCTAATTATTGGGTACATGGACCCTCTGGGTTTTGTAATTTCCGCAGGTCTTCTGCGAAGCGTGAGGCCCTTGTCTGGCATTTTGCAGATTTTAGAAGAGCCCTTTAGGGCTTACCTAGACCCTCCAATGTAGTACCTTTTTGGTAGTCCTAATAAGAATCCTAACCAAAAAACCATACCAAACCCAAAAAGAAACTGCATTGGATGGTCTAGGTATAGTCCCGCTTAAGCAGGGTCATATAGGGATATGGAAAAGAAGATGGAAACTGCTATTTAGGGTCTAGGGCTTAGGGTTTAGGGTCCCCATTAAGTAGATACTATATGGCGTTGGGTATATTATAACAAACTCCCCATATATCCGGTATTCTTTCTACTTAAGGGGGACTATAGGGTCTAGGGCTTTTAGGGTCTAGGGCTTCTAGTCTAGGGTTTAGAGTTTTGGGTTTGGGGTTGATAGGCTATAGGGGCTTAAATAATGGGTCTGCGGGTATATTGCGCAATTACAGTGGATTGGGTTGTAGCTGGTTGACATTCAAGTTGCCTTACTACTTAAAACCCCGGTTACAGCAACGCATGAACCCTAAACCCTATATATTCTTTCCGTAACCCTAAGTCCTAAACATCAGTTTAGGAAAGCAACATAAATGAGGGTCCCGCTTTAGTATCCCAATATACTATGACCCTGGTTGTAGGATGCATCAGTAGGGACCTATATACCTGAACCCAAAACCCTAAATCCAAAACATAGATTTCAAACCCTCACCTCTATTCTAGACCCGAATTTCCAAACCCTGAAGCTCTGAACCTGAAAATCCAAAATTCAAAGCCCGAAAGCCACGAGCCCAAGATTCTTAACCCTCAGCCCTAAACTCAAAGCCCTAAATCCGAAACCTTAAACTCTAAACCCTAAAATCCTAAACCCTAAATCCTAAAACCCTAAACCCTAAACCCTAAAACCTAAACCCTAACCCCTAATCCCTAAAACCCTAAACCCTAAACCTTACTGAGCTGCTTCTGCCAGGCCTGAGCCTCCTTTGCAGGGTTCCAGCAGCGGTCAAAGTGTATCCTTTGCCAACAAGAATGACTAGGGCCTTGAGTTTAGGATTTAAGGTTTTAGGTTTTAGGGTTTAGAGTTTAGGGTTTGAGGATTTAGGGTTTGAAGGGTTGAGGGTTTGAAGGGTTGAGGGTTTGAGGATTTAGGGTTTAGGGATGTGGGTTTAGGGTTTAGATTTCCTGGGGTTACAGGGCAGTATGGGGTTCTAGCAGGGTTTAGGGTGCAGGGTTTAGGATTTAAAGGTTTGAAGGGTTTTGGGTTTAGGACTTAGGGTTTGAGGATTTAGGGTTTGAAGGGTTTAGGGTTTAGGGTTCAGGGTGAAGGGTTCAGGGTTCAGGGTTGGGGGTTTAGGATTTCTGGGTTTAGGGCTCAGGGTTTAAGGTTGAGGGTTCAGATTACATGGAGTTACGGGGCATTATGGGGCTTGAGGGCGCTTATAACATTGTAGTGAGTGTAGGGTTTGGGGCAAGCGACCTA